CCTGCTCTTCTGTGATCACACCCTGAGTGAGCAGCTGTGACACGAGAGAAGGCCATTCGGAGCGAAATAGGTCCGCGCCGGTTAGGGAACCGTCACCTCCACAGACGGCAAGAGCATCAATTCCCTCTTTTATTAGGTTGCGTGCAGCAGACAGACGACCTTCTGGAGTACGAAAGGCTGCCGATCGAGCTGTTCCAATGAGAGTACCACCCTGCCGCGTAATAATCAGCATACATGTGTTGTTGGAGAACATCCACATACGCACCTCAGCAAACCAACCTCTGACATCATCCCACCCCACACGAACGATATATCGACCTTTCAATGTGCGGCCATGGTGATGATCACCTGTTCCATCTCGTAGAAGGTCACCATCTCCAAAACGGAGATTCTCCATAAGATTAGTGGGTACTCCTCGATGAGCGCATTTTAGTGCAGATAGATCAGCTGGAAGCTCTGTATGTAATGAATGCGCCTGCGTGTTGCCCCTCACGAGCCCCTCGTATCCTTCCCGTACAATCCATGTTTCGCAGCCTCTGTCACATAAATGTTGGTGGAAGTTTGTCACAATGCAGACGTGGTGATCGGAACACACCTCAAGATGCCGATCTTGACAACGGCACGGACGACAGCATTCATGCCAGCGCTGTCGCCTCCCGAAGTAAGGACTGCGAGCTTCATTTTGCCTGTGGATTGGGACATCGCGGGCGTACTAGCGGATGAAGATGGTATTTAAGGTGCTTGACGGCGATTGTGAGATATTAGCTACAATGGCCTGATCCAGTGTCGTATGGCTGTATCAATTAACAGTCTGGGTTATGGCAAGCCGATCCAGGCCAACTATAGCTAGTAGAACGTATCGTATGATATACACGCTGAACCGACTTGCACATTTTCGGCTACCATTCATATCGGCCTATTTATGTAATTTATTTCCCCGATTTATCCATCGAACGTTCATCGACGTTCAAAATGATGGGCATTTCAAGCTTGCTGTACTACAGTACTACAAACGATTTTCTTGCAGGGCTTGCGACGGCAGCATCCTAGATCTTGTTGGATTGGTCAGGGTACTGCAACCCTCGCGCGCACCGCCTCGGCACCGCCTGCTCCCTTCAGTGAAGAACTAAACTGCTAGCCTTCTTAGGTGACTACGAGGAGTCTTCCGCTGCGGCGTTGTCATATCATAAGGACTGTCTAAAGTTGCAGCTGTACGGGTTCAGAGCGTGTCGCAGCATGCAGTAGTCGTAGCTGCATAGGAAATCGCCAGTCTCTATGAAGTCTACGCAGACTCCGCGCCAAACTCTAGGTACACGTCTGGGGAGATGTCTATGATCGGAGTTCCGCGCGGTCAAAGGTCTGTCTTCATCATCGCAACCACCCTGCCGTGTACGTTCAGCCACCATCACGCATTCCGCCATCTATGTCAACCCGTCATACCAATCTTGTCATCCTTTCCGTCACGGTTCTAGTCACCTGGAGAGAGGACATGGCAGCCGTAGACTGGGATCTGCACAAACGACATGGAGTTGGCAGGCGGGTAGGAAATAAACAAACGCAGAGGAAATAGCAGACATACAGGTAAGTATGAGAGCCTCGCAGGCATCATCGAGGTAAAGACCCTGATGATAGCAGGCGGTATGGAAATTGAGCGGGATGATAGCGACATCGTGCGACAGCCTTGACAGACTTCCTGGCACTTTCTGAATCCGAGCAACCCACTGACAGGACACAAACTTGCATCCAGTTTGCATAGTCGACCTCATACAGACTGACCAAATCCCGCACTTTCTGGTTGTATGTAGGCGCTGCCACTGCGTGCGGTACCACTCTCAGATACTATCATCGTCATCTCCATCTCTTTATACGGATGAGTTGGTTCACGCGGTTGGGGGTATTGTAACATGCTTTTCGAGCCAAGATGCTGCCAGCTGCACAATGTCATAGATCGAATGTTACGCGGATGGTCAGCGTGCATGGCTTTATTTATCTGAATGGTGCTCAACATAGCCCAAGTCCAGCAGCAGATGACGGTTTGCGATCGAGTTTCACTTGATACCTGGGCACAGGACTTCGGTGGTCGGTTTGGGAAGTCCGTTGAACTGAAAGTGCGATGCCTCCGGACTTAGAAGGTCGTAGTTAAGGCGCCAAAGATGCTTTAATTGGATGTTACGATTGATGGGGCCTGGGTGTTGAAATAATAGTAAGGGATTGTTCGGCAATTCCAGTAGAATTGATGGGAGGAGGCATGATGCTACGATAGCAACGACATTGGGATCCATGACTGAGCACTGATTTGCAGACATCGTCGCGGTCAAATCAAGACGAAAAGCAATTGAGGCTAGAAATTAAACACGCGGAGTATGAAAGCGTTCATCAAACTAATTCAAGTTCATGCAATGTGTCTGTGAAAGCGCTAACACTCCGTGGACGCGACCCCGTACAATGCGAGGCCCGCCTGCACAATATCATGGGTCGAGCGTTAAAACGTTAAGTATTCGCGAATACGTCAACGTGCAACTTGATTAATGATTGTGCAATATTTTATGTGCATGACCTCGCTTTTGAAATTTCAACTCGGATCCGAGTAACGGTCCTTCCTTCTCGGCATCTCTCTACTGCACAGTATCCCCTTTTCACTTTCTGTTGATCATGGCAGTGGGCAAACTCTCCTTTACAGCGCGGTACGCTCGTCAGCTCATTCATGAGAGCATTTCTCTCCAACTATGTACTCTCCGCGAGTCTCACAACACAAAACTACCTATTCATCTCTCAGGTCTAGGTGGTACGAACGATACGTTGTCCGGCGCCAATCGTCCTTCTGAAGAAGGAGCTCATCTGGATGACAGCACTCCTCTGAATGTCAAATTCTGTATTATTGGTGCTGGAGTAGCTGGGTTATATATCGCCATGATTCTGAAAGAACTTGGTATACAGTTCGATCTCGTGGAGGCCTCGGACCGTGCTGGGGGACGTTTCTATACCCATAGATTCAGTGAGACTCCCCATGACTACTATGATGTAGGGGCTATGCGTTGGTCAGAATTTCCAATGATGAAAAAGTAAGCAGGGCATTTTGGTTCTGAACACAATTCTAACATGGACACCAGAGCGCTTGCTCTATTCGAAGATTTGGATGTTCCCTTACTTCCCTACTACGTGAATGGTAAGAATACTCCGATGATATTCAATAGCATCTTGGGCCCGCCTATGCACTCTTCGGAATTCGACCCATACAAGTTTAGTGTCACGAATGGTGGCATGGTCCCAGACGAGTATGAGGCCGTTCTGTTCTCTTACACGAGCGGGGCGCTGATATCTGAGGTTAGGTTTGTGGCTACTGGAGTTCAGAAAATCCTTGAGCAGGCGTCAGCACCCTACCTGCAGCTTTTGAGGGAAGACTTCGAACAAGGTTTCCAAAAACTCATGGAGGTAGACGACTACTCCATCAGAGAATACTTGCGCGTGTACATGTGAGTTGGTGCTCCATAATTCTCCATCGTTTATGTTAATTGCCCATTAGGCAGCTTGATTATCATACCAGTCAATGGCTAGAGACATATATTGCGTACGAGGTGCTTTGACTCCACCGCGATTCCCACTAACGTTCATATCAGCCCCAGCGACTTCTTTGACCAATCTTTTACCGAGTTTGTCATTATGAGCTCAGACTTCCACGATCGGGAGGACTATAGATGGAAGTGCATAGACGGCGGCTCGTCAGTTGCAATTTCTGCTATGCTGAACAGGATTGCTCCCCATAAACCTGAATATTGCACTACGGCCACTCGCATCGCTTTGAATCGAACTCGTACGAAAGTGGAAGTCAAATCCGTCACTCCATCGGGTCAATCATCCATCCGTCAGTATGACTCGGTGTTTAACACCACTCCCTTAAGTTGCTCACAAAACATGGACCTCGTTGACGCCGAGTTGCATCCTACACAAAGAGATGCCTTGCGTTGTTTGCGATATGATACATCCTGCAAGGTCGCAATAAAGTTCAAGACCCCATGGTGGATTACACGGTGTAGCATAACAGAGGGTGGTATATCGTTCGGTGATATCCCAATCCGCACATGTTGCTATCCGTCCCATAGTATTCACGATGACCCGAAGGAGCCAGCCGTGCTCATCGCCTCTTATACAATTGGTCAGGATGCTCAACGCATGGGGACCCTGATTAACCGGGACTCACCTTTTGGGGAGTCACGGCTCAAGGAAGTCGTATTGCGAGACCTTGCGCGTTTACACGCTAGATCTGGGATTACCTACGACTTTTTGGCAGCACAGTACATCACGCATCACGCATATAATTGGAGAGATAACCCATTCTCCGGTGGGGCATTTGCGATATTTGCGCCAGGACAGTTCAGGCACATGTACCCGTACCTCACGCGTCCTGCTGCTGACGGTAGATTGCACTTTGCGGGGGAGGCCTCGAGTGCGCATCATGCATGGGTTGTGGGTGCGCTTGAGTCGGCGCAACGAGCTGTCATACTCTCGTTACTGAGGTTCGGACGGCGGGACTTGGCAAAGAAGGTGGAAGAACGCTGGGGGCCTTCGTCCGAGCTAGATTGGGAAGGACAGGAAACCGCATATGTGCAGGCGATGCTTGGTCGCTTGGAACCAAATTGTGTAGCCAAGATGGAAACCCCAGAGAGCTACATCGACCCAGATGAGTTCCATGATTTCGAGGATGATAAGTCTAGTGCTTCCGTTACCAATGAGCCTGATAGTGACAAGTTATCTGTGCGATCTGGAAGATGTTGCATAGCATGATAGGTCTTGTGAGAATATTTCCGAGTCCCTGATGCTCGAGTTGATATAAATAAAATATTACACTCATTGTTGTGATGACTACACTGCCAGGAAAATTACTGCAGGTCCTCCCAATATCGTGACAATGACTACCATCACTTGCACGATATCAAACCAATGTGCCCTCTGAGCCTGAGAGAATAAATAGTTGCGACCTTGTGTAATTAAGATAAGTATAAGTGGCGACAAGTAGTATACATAAGGTGATCCAGGGAGATGGAGGTGTACATAATTAGGTGGTTCATGCAGGCGTATGTGCGTAACCTTTAAAGTATTCAATGATAATAATAAATCCAAGTGTTATCCATTCAAAAAAGTCGGACATGTGCACCATCTTAGACTGCCACGTCAGCTCCGCCCGCAAATTCAATAAATACGCGTCAACCATATAGTATACACAGCTCGCCCCCAGTTTGCAAGATCGCGTAGGAGCCGGCGATACCGATGCCGAGGAAAAACTCGACCATAGACACACTGAAGCATGTGGAGAAGCCCATGATTTGGGCAAAGACCTGAAGGTTGTGATCAAGGGTTGCGAGGGCGGGAGGAAAGTAAATAGACTTACAGCAGCTACGCTCATGTCTCTTTCGTTGAGATCTGCAAGGGAGTTGCCCACTGCGGGGATTGTGAGACCAGTGACTACATTTAAGAGTCCAAATGCGGAACCAAATATCTGTGTAGATTAATCTGTTAGTATGATGATATGTGCGATATATCCAGGGTGTATGAACGACAGTAGCAAGATGCTGATTGAAGGGAACAGACCTGCAACAACATTGATAATCACTTCCGTGATTGCCATAATCCATGCGATCGCAATTAAGAGGCTCATGCGACACCACGCTATACGTACAACAGGGTGGCTTATAAACAAGAACAACAAAGTTGTCAATCGTAGCTGGGAGCTGGTAAACACAAGCTCGGATACCAATCCAATGGCTGGAATAACGAGATGGAGAGGCAAGTGACTTCGACAACAGACGGTCTTTGGGGGCAGGCTTGCAGTAGGCCGAAGTATTTATATAATTAGGGAGAGGTAGCACGGCACAAGAGACCGATGTTATCATTGGTGTTGCGGCCACTGCTGGTTGGACACGGTAAATCACAAGGTCGGTGTCATCAGAACAAGGTAGTATCGCCTCAGTCATCAATGAGCTGCTTGCAAGCAATATCATTACTGCAGTCCGGGATAAGATCGTTCGTTAGCGCTGCGCCAAGTTTCAGTACTAGGCAGCTAGTCCGTTCAATGGGTACCTTCGTACGCGGCAGAAAAGGCTTGTCCGTCAACCACGCTACCTTCGCACGAACCCTTAGCCGCACAATGAGAGACCGGTAACTGATAGAATGAAAAACAAATATTGAATATCCAATTGAACGGTCCTCAAAACGATTCGGAACGACGGATGAAACGCCTGAGCTTCAAGTCGAAGCAGTGAGAGAAAGCCAATATTAATGCCCGGTAAACTTTACGGAAATTAGGAAAGGACCGTCCGTCCCGTCCGTACTGTCCGCATCGTCCTTGCCTAATTTGGCCATCCAGAAACGTTTCGAAATGTTGTTTCGGAATGCTTCCGGAATTTATAGGAACGGAACTTTGTATATACCGAAAATTTGATAGGGACCGTCCGTCCCGTCCGTACGAGGGCATGTAGGGGACATGTCTGGGTGTGTTTTGTCGGCAAATTTCGGGTTGTCATCATCACTCCCACCACGATCTATGTCAGCCACTGTGATATCAGCCACCCCCATCAGTGGCTAGCCACTCCTGCCATCTACATCAACCACCCCTGTTAGCACTTCAGCCACCCCTGTATCACGCATCAGTAGGTGCAATCAATGATGAGTCTGATTGATGACATCTGCAGGATGGCACCTGGAATATTTGGCAGCTGTGGAGCTAGTGATGTTCTGGCCCGGCTTGGCCCAAAAGCCATGGCTTTGGCCCGGCTTCAGATGGCTCTGGCTCGTCAAAAATCCAGGCCAGGCCAAAGCCATGAAAACTGGCTGGCTTTGGCCTGGCTCTGGCCCAAGCCGCGGCCCAAGCATGCAAAATATGAAATATTGTACAATATATGTATTCAACATAAATACTACAGTAAATCAATGTCAGTATCAGATTCCGAGTCATCACTGTGAGTGTCTTCAAGAAATATACCATCCCAACCCTCATCCTCAACCTCAAACTTCTCACCAGACTCCTCTTCGATCTCGAACTCATCAAGTTCATCTTCTACGAGGGACGACGGCCCTGGTTCGCGGAAAAGGAGGTCGTGGTGGATAGCACATTTGACACACTGGAGGGCCTCAACAATGTCCCCTTTGAGGTGATTGCGGCGTTTGCTGATGGTTATCCCGCCCTGAGAAAAAGCACGCTCGCTGGAGATGGATGATGCCATAATCGACAAATAGTCTCGCATGATCGAAGACCACACCGGCCCATATCTCTGGGCATTGATCGTTGCCGGTTCCGCTGAATGAAGAAGCGCAGCAGTAGGCTTAGTTTTGCATACTGGACGCATAGCAACACGAGTTTCCCCCTCGCCATCTGAGAGAATAGTGGGTGGTATTTGGATAGTGTAATGATCAGTTCAACAAGGGCGAGAGTTGAGACAAGTACCTCACCAATCAGCCCTTATCAGTGCGAATATTGTCGGTCATTTCTTAGCTAGTTGTTTGGGATTTCGGATAGTCAGATGCCTAATATTGCAGACTAAGTTCCTGGGATCAAATACTGATATATTCGAGAGATTTTGACGAGCTTTTGATGTCTGAATGAAGAGCTGCAATAGAATGTTAAGTCAAGATCAGGTGAACACATCACATGTTGGACAAATATCGAAGCCAGAGAATGTCGCGCGGGATGTCCGTGGAGTGGACCTGCAACTCAGTAAATAGTGAATAATGATTAGCATGACATATATTAGACAGACATTGTTGTGACATCGAAGTTGAGTCTTGAAGCGACTGTTGTGCTCGACATCAGGAACCAATTTGCGCTCATTCTATTTTTACACAAACATTTCCCACAAAGCCAAAATACTCTCAAAGCCGTGGCCTGAGCCACCGGCTCCTGGCTTTTCAGAATCATGGGCCTGGCCTATATGGACCCGGCCTGGCCTGGCCTGGCCCACGGCTTGAGGCCGGGCCATGCACATCACTATGTGGAGCTGCAGTCGATTATATGTTGTCTATGGGCATGGCAGGAGAGGGGAGAGCTGATGGCGGGATGGTGGTGGGCTGACACTAGATTATGACACACTACGGTGGGCATTCATCCTTTGATAGACTTCCCAGCACTTTCCGGACAACTGCTGGCAGACCTGTCCCCAGACTTTGACATGGAGTCTGTGACTTGTCTGTATAGACCTCATGCAGACTGGCAAAATCCCGCACTTTCTGCAGGCAGTACAATGCCCTGCGTGCTCCCGCACGCTGCTTGTCGTCGTTTACTATCGTGTTCGTGCAAATCAACTATCAAGTCATCAGTAAATTCACACATTTCTTGGCAGACCTTTTTTCAAAAATTAAAACTTATTTTTAACTTATTGACACTTATTCACCTTTATTCACTTGGCTGTTTGTTTTCACAAGTCAAAAAAGGAAGTGGATGACACACAAGTGCCGAAAAGTAGCATAAGATCAGAAAAGTTAGTTCAAGTATTCGAAACAAAAATAAGTACAGCAAGTAAAATAAGTACCCAGTGACCGATATTTACGAAATAGTGTTTTGCGCAAAGGGATAATTGTGATATAGAATATGCATAGTGCAGACAGTACGGGTGACGGTGCAAGTGTAAATAGGAAGCCGTATGGGACCTGCAATGAGGAGGGTGCCGACTGTGGCTACACCGCCCGCAAGTGCCATACCAACGTATCCCTCTGTGCGCCCAGATCAGTAAGGTGTAAAAATACTCCAAAAAATGATGTACCTCATGCAACACCCTTGTCTATCAGCGATGCTAGACTTTGTGCCTGCAGATTGGTGGGCTCCCATGAAAGCAGGAGGTCTGCGCATTGAATATAAATAACCAGGTAAGACAGTGCAAGGAGATGCATCCTCAACGTACCGTTGAAGCTTCTTGCTTCTGTGAAGTTGCCCATCTTATAGTATCCAAGTGCTAGGTAGTACAAGCACTCTCGCCATCTTGATGGCTCTGTCCGGTATATTTCTGTGCAGCGCCAAGTTAGACACCGCAGAAAGGAGACACCGAAGCAATGTGAACCTTGCAGAAGTCGCACACCCTCAACCTGATTCTCGTGTACTGGGCTCTTCACTAGCCCCCATGCATAGTTAAATTTAGTCTGGACGGTGATGTGAGACTGTGCAAGCTCCTCCTCGTATTGCAGTCGAAGGACCTATATAACAAAGTTGTAGAAATTTCAACTTAAGTGAAGGGGAGTGCGTACCTCTATCTCATCATAGGATAGTGAGACTTCAGCGTCAGCAGTGTATGGAAGGTCTGTACTATGTAAGCATAGTAGAAAGAGTTCAAGTGGACAAATTACTGCGGACGCTAGACAACAACTTGCATCAGCATGGCTCGAACTCGAACAAGGATCGACACACTCACATACTGTGGACGGTGGGCAACAACTTGGATCAGCATGGCCTGAACTCGAATGAGGATGCCAATGGCTTACAGACAATGTCTGAAACATCCAAGTCAAACATTTGTGTATGTTTGTTTATTCCCACGGTTCAACAAACATCTGTCGTTCTTGGACACATCAATGCTTTCTCCCACTGCGCTGCCCTTCCATCTTCTTCAACACAACACTTGTCTTGGAATTGAGGCATCTTTCTCTGGTAAGCCACAGAGGTGGGTGTATTTTTTATGCTGCTTCACCATGCTAACCTACTTTGTTTTTTTGCATGGCCTTTTACCTGCTTACCCCACGCTGATGGTGTTGTGGCTGTATCCCACTCTTAGACCGTGCATGATCTCATCTTTTGATCTGCTTACCTGATTCTGATGGTGCCGTAGCCGTATCCCGCTCTCAGCCAGTGCATGATCTCATCTTTTGAACTTCTTAGTTGATGGTGCCATGTCCCGCCTGTAGGTACTATGTGAGTAAGTCTTCGTTTTTCTTGTCTTTTACATTCTCTGACAACTCCCATCCACTAGGACCCTCATGTTATTCTCCTGCTCCCTACTCTCTCCTGCTCCCTACTTACACTCTCCCGCTCGCTAGTACTTGCTCCTCTCGCTCACTACTTACTCTCTCCTGCTTGCTACTTACTCTCTCCTGCTTGCTACTTGCTCCTCTCCTGCTTGCTACTTACTGTCTCTCGCTTGCTAGTACTCATTATATCATTTACTCCCTCTGAAATACAGTGTTTTGTGTTTATGATCTCAACAAGTGTGAAATAAGTTTGGAAAGTGTACAATAAGTATCTCTGAATTGTGCTACTGGCATGGCTCACAATGTAGGGATAAGTACAAAATAATTGCCAAAAAGCTAAAATAAGTTTGGAAAAAGTTGAAGTCAAGAGGAGGCATCTGCTTTTTCGACTTATAATTGTCTTGTGGCAAGTTCATGGCAAGTTGGTGTCACCGTTCTTATGAATGGCTTTTCTGCTCCTTTTTGGGAATTATCCGGCAGCAAGTTGCAAAAAAGGAAGGTCAAGAAATGTGTGAATTTACTGATGAATCTCCTCTACCCAGGGCTAACAATTTCTACCTTAGGTGGAGGTGGTTCTGGTGCATTGTATCTTCTCAAGGGACATCCTTGTTCACTTGTCTATGAACTAGTGTTGCCGCAGCTCTGGCTTGTTGTCGGTTCTAGCCACAGCCTGAGCTAAAAATAGCTGAGTTGACAAGTGGTTATGGCTTGTGTAATTATGGTTCGGCCCGGCTCGATGTCACAAGTACCTCATACGAACCACTATTCTTTCCTAAATTCGAAAACCTTTAAGCGCCCTACTATGGCGTCCAACTCAGCATCCACCTCTAAGAATGTATTTACGGTCGAAGAAGCGCCTATGGCGTCTATTGTAGAATTACCAGAATTACCTAAAACTATGTCATGTGACCTTACGGAAGAATCCGGACTTAATGACAACATGACACGCGACACTCTTGGAATGTTCCAGAGTCTTACTGTGGCTGCAGCACATGTTATGATCTCATAGTTATATATAGAATTGTACGATACCTTTAAATATTCTGATTGGTAGATTAGTTCAGACTCAGTTTCAGTCTCCACTTTAATATATGTATATAGGTAGTCTGTTGTAGTTAGTAGTTCTTTAGTTCAAATCTCTCGTCTGTACATTGTGTACCAGCCCGGACGTACCTGCTCAATTCTATTTCTTTGTTGTGATTATCTTGTGTTCGAGTCCCTAGTCTCCACCCAGCGTTAATTCGTTATTGGGTTGTGACACTCGAGTAGTTACAGCTAAGTCGACTTAAGGGCTTAAAACCAACTCCATTAATAATATATTCTAAAATTATATAAGCCAAAAATAGATTGACAATTTAGGACTCCAGTCATCGAGAACTGCGATGAGAACTCAGAGCAGATTGTCGATCACATTAATTCACAAACACACTCAAATGCACTCTACATTTTACAATAACTTTATTGATATCAATGGGTCCGCAAGACAAAGTAAGTAATTACTGATAATGTTTAATCAAAAACTAAAATAAATCACTAGTTATACAGTACTGCGACTTGCACAAGAAGGTTGTGAGAGCAGTGCACATCAGCGCAAAACACGGAGAGACCCATTGAAAGGCAGTGGGGAGTCGAGAGAGCTGTTGAAATCCAAGGAGGAGGGGAAAGGACCGTTCAGACAACTCGGAGATCCAGGTGGGGACGTTACCTGAGGTGACTTCTAGGTCGCGGTTGCGGGGGCAGGGATTAGTGTTGAGATTGAAGAGAGGTATGGGTTGTGAACGTTTGTGAATAGAATAGTCTTCTCGATCGAAATGTGAACAAGTGTTGTTATCAGTGATGATCGAACAGTGGGCAATGACTTGAGATCAGCGTGGTCCGAACTTGAACGAGAAATGACGGACTCACTCTGCGAACAGTAAGCAATGAGCTTGGATCAGTGTGGTCCGAGCTCAAACGATAATCGACGTCGTGGTAGATCGCGCAGATGTTCCTTCCTCAAGGAGACTGCTAGTCTGTTCTTGATTATGCGACTCCTCGACCACCACTTCTTCTGTTTTTATCATCTTGATAGGAAGCGAGTTGTCAGGTCGCTTCACGCTCCGATCTCCAGTAGCACTCTCCTCGACACGGTGCCTGTTCTTCTTGATGTGTCGCAAATTTGCCTCTCTTTGAGCTGGTGAGGGATTCACCTGTTGACTGACAGTCCATTCAGTCCATTCATTGCCATCGCTAGCGAGGATGGTACGTGACTTGGGAGTGCTGGGCAATGCGACCTTTTTAGAAGTTGGAGGTGGCCCATTTGGTAGGGGAGAAATGGACAAATCCAGAGGGAATTCAGAAGCCAGTTGAGTCGAATACCAAGGCGCATCTGTGATCACCTGTCTCCTAACGTCAGTGGAAGCCGATACAAACGAGAGCGCATCGAAAGACTGACGAGTCCGAGTGATTTGTTTCTTCAGATTCTCAGTCAACTCGATTTGGTGAGACAAAGCCTTTTTATAGTCATTGACCGCCTCAATCTCTTCTTCAGTCATACCATCCTCCTTCTCGACAGGAGGCCCGATATCAGCAGAAAGCTGAAGTAGTGCTGCGCTGTGTTGAGCCAGAGTCCTTTCTCTCTCGGCATGTCAATCAAAGTCGGGTTCTGAAAAATAAAGTGTGACACACATCATGCAAGTTACAGAATGCATAAACATTAAGTACATTCGTGAAACTTGGAGCCAAGCATAGGTATTGGAAGAGACTGGAGAAGATGTGCCAAGGATCCCGCTGAAACACGGGATTAGACAGTGTCATTTCGAACAGATACAACTCACATAGAGTAACGATGCAATGAGGTAGATGCCTATCTCGTGAATGAGCTAAGGAATCACTACAAAGCATGAGGCACAACATACCGAAAGTGGAGACCATCACGACAATCAAAGGACCAACAGGGGGCATGAAGAAGGTAATAATGACTTCAGCCACTGTCTTGTTCTTCAGTTGGCTGGGAATGGTCTACCAGAAAGTGCATCATCAGGATAACATAAGCAAGCACCCAAGAACAGTGAAACTCACAGTGAATGCCTTGCCAGTTAGCCAGAATGAACACACGAGAAGGTAGACAGCCAAGAAGGTGTAGACCCTGCACACAAGTCAGCTTGAATAGAATAAAGACTCTGACTTGAAACAAACCATAGTGTGATTGCATATGCTGTCCGTTCACCCTTTGGTCTGTTACCAAGAGCTAGCACAAACTGCAGCGCGAGGAAGGCAAGGTAAATCCATTTGAAACACAAGTTTACCCAGTGTGTCAGATCAGCGTGGTGTGAGCTCAAATGAGGATTGACAGACTCACTCTGCGAATGGTGAGCAACGAGCTTGGATCAACATGGCTGTTGTCGAACAAGGATCGACACACTCACTGGCTGCGAACGGTGGGCAACGACTTGGATCAGCATGGTTGTTGCTCGAATGAGGATCGACACACTCACTCCCTGTGAACTTCGATCAGTGGGCTGAGCTTGAAGGAAGATCAAAGCACTCACACACCATGAATGGTGGGCAATGACCATGGCATAAAGCCATTGTTGCAGTCAGTGCTGATGCCTAGTTCAGATATTAGTTAGGGTGAGACATCTGTCAAAAAGAAAAATTAATCGATAGTCAAGGTCATTAATGACAAAAGTAGTAGCAGCAGTATGAGCAAGAACATAGAAATAGTAAAGGTAGCAGTAAAGAAAAAAATTAAGAGACACATGTAGACGTCGTTGCAATATCATCTGGAACATCATCGCATTCGTCCTCTGCGATGACTCTGAGAAGGGCCTTGTAATTGCAACTGCCAGAAGTTATTGCGCTGATGGCAGATATCAGTATGTCACCACAGCCAGATGCCAAGAGATCTTCATGGCTCGCTGAGCCCACGACACACATCAAGTCATACTCCATATCCTTTTGGGATGCTGACCAGCCCTTCGTGAAGTGGAGTCACTCTTTTTTCAGCATGAATTTGGTCATTTGTAAGGCTTCCATCAAGTAAGGACTAATGTGATTGCGTTTCTTGGTGAATGTATCACTGCTGGAGGAAAATACATGCTTGCATGGAACAGCAGAGGCTTGGATTGGGAGAAAGTCCATGGTGATTTTATAGAGTGTTGGAAAGATTGATTTCGAAACCTAGTCCACCATCAGTACCTCATCATCAACAAATCCTGTAATAGACTCTTACCATCCAAAAAGATAGAAGATCTGTCCCTCTGGGACTAAGAATACCTGTGCCATAAGCATTGAACTCGTCTTCGACTGATTGAGGCCGCCCTGGTGACGCAGCAGTAAGTCCAACTCAGGAAGTCCATAAATCGTCGAGCCTAGAGTTGCAGGGCACAGCTGACGAGTCGATTCATCGGATTGCATGGAGACATCTGTTGTTCTCTTGCTCCACATCTGTGGGACATATCAATACGAAGTTCAGCTGTTATTATTATCTGGCAGACGTACCAGTTGGAGAATATAGTTTTTCGCCTGTGTAATTCGCGGCACTGACCAATGTTCATTTATCCATGACAGACGTCTTGTGGGGTCAACAACTATACACAACGATGAGAATTTATCCTTATCAAAGCATCGAAAAGACTCACACATTGCAACAGCATATGCTCCTGTTAGGCTCATCCGGTCATCATACTTGGCTGCCCACGTTAAACCTATAGCGACAAAAGATGCGCAATGTGGGACAAGGTCTCCCACAAGCTTCCACCTTTGAATCAACCCTTCAAAGGCCGGAACAGTGCTACTCAGAAGAGGACTGGTTTCGCCGGACATGCATTGTTGGGCATGGTGTGGTGCCTAATGTAGAATAGTAAATACGTTAGAAGTTTTGGACATATGAAAACATACTTCTAGAATAACCTCAAGATCCTGAAGGACTTGCCAATCCATAGGGCTCAATTTATAGCGAGCTATGCTGTGTTGAGCAGGGAGATCAATCCAATGGTCAATGGCCTGGGCAAGAGTTAAGCTGTGTGAAGAGTCTAATGATATGAGACTTACCTGCTGTAGGATCCTCAAACAATTGAACATGATGTATGTCGAATCCCAACAAGTGGGCTTGTCACATAGCAATTCGACTATCGGCAGGGCCATACGCTCGCCATTGTTGTTTATGAACCATCCCTCTGCATTGCCAGAAGTAATGGCAGCTCGAAAACTGTCATGACGCTGGCCTGATGAGCGGATCATGCAGACAACATCTCTGGCCCGAGTGATAACATCACTTTGCAGAGCCTTGATGTACTCAACTTTCTTGAAAGTGTAAGGGCCAGCTACAAAAGTGTCAGCCAAATGTGAGAAATCTACCTTAGAATGTTCGTCGAGGATATGTTGGACGCATATGTTCACTATATGCGGAAAACATGGGATTCGGCGATCAAGAGCATCAAATTCGATCCCATCATTTTGTAACAGCTGCGAGAGCTCGTCCATTGTGGTCCGGTTATTACTGGCATTGTCCAGGGTGAAGTGTCCAATCTAGACAAAGTCAGAGCATGCGACAGAGTACAATGAAATACTAACATTATGTTTCACTTCAGCGCAATCAATGAGCTCCAATATCTTTGAAGCGAGTGCCTTTCCTGTATGGCTACCAGGGATGTGATGAAAGGCTATTAGAGCAGCCTTCAAAACAAGTGTGGCTTCACGTTCTTTCGCAATCCAATGTGCGGTTACAGCAAGGAAGGGACGGAGCTTAGAATTGGACCAAATATCAGATGTGAATGAAATTCGTCCTTGGGCGGTCTGCAAGATATGAAGATACTGGATGCAATAGATAGTTAAACACTCACAGTGAGGTCAAGTTTGATGGCTGCAAAGTATTCATCCCACGCATCGATGATTAGTTGCCGAAGCTTTGAACGATGGGGGATATCAGAATCCTTTAGGTCCTGCCGCAAGAGGCAGAGCAGTCGACGAAACTCTGGACATTCGACAACACTGATTGCCTAGAGACAATGGTTAGCGAGAACACATAAAAAATGAACAGTACTTACTTGGTCGTCAGCTACAATAAACTTCATGATCTGTCGATGCATCTCCTTGATAGAGAAGTCTGATAAGTCATAATCCGAAGATGCTGACTTCCCAACACCAGGCCTTGAACCGCCACGTTTGGGATTGGGGGGAGGGCCAAGTGTCTCGATCATGCAAGTGGGATTTTGGAGTTGTTTCCGCATCTCGCTAAAGGTCCAGCCTTCATTAAGGCAGTCACTTACAGGATGGATGCCGATTGGCCATTGCTGCTTCTCGGATTCCTCAAGGTAAAGGTCGATATGAACTTTATGAATGTGTGAATGGAGAGGGGTATTGCTCGTGGATGGACCGTAGATGGTGAGGGGATAGGATGAGTCTATCTTATTTGAATCCCTGGTAAAGGGGTGAGAAGAGTAGAAGAGACTCCCAGACATGTTACTCACTCGCATGGTACACAAATGCGCTCGCCGGTGTCTGAGTTCTTCCTAAAGAAGAACTGGATATCGGAAGTAGTCTTGAGGCCTCTTTTTCTTGTAGCAAAAGGATTGGTGTGGAGAGTGCTGGTTGTCGTCTGAGTTGTCATCTGTAGTGGGCTCGGGCCCTGTGTGTGCGTGGCGGCTACAACTTGAGGTGGGTTGTCATCGTCTTCACTGCTGCCAATGTTGTTGATGTCAATCCACTCGCCATCATCCGGATGGGCAGCTGCATCATCCTGCCTATATCTCTGAGGCAGCTGTCATTGTCTCCTAGGGCGGTGAAGCGCAGTAGTAATCGCAGCAGCTGCAGTGGTAGTTGCAGCAGTGGGAGCAGGAGTGTTAGGCATGGGAGCGGGAGCAACAGGAGTAGGAGCAGGAGCAACATGAGTAGGAGCAGGAACGATAGGTGTGGGAGCGACAAGAGCAGGAGAGACAGGTGCAGGTGCAGGCACAGGAGCAGCTTCAACCTGGGGGATTTTAGCATTCTGTCGACGACGTCCATGACGGTTCATGTTAGTAGTAGTAGTGCTGGAGATGTAACGAGAGACTTACCCATACATAACATATATACCTTCATCCTGGGAACCCCAGAAAAACACCGCTGTGCACAATGGTACAGAATCACCTTGGCACTGCAGGGTCTAAACACAATAGTTAATAGCAATACATAATGATTGAGACTGAAAACTGGCGTACTGATACACGTACATTTCATTTAGCAGCTCTTCATAACATCACAACTTCTTCCTACTGTATCGGCCAGATCATGGTGACCGGTTCTTGAATGTGGGTGGGGATCTCCATGAGGAGGACGCGAGTATGAAAACTAACATGATGTATACTTAAATCTTGCTGAGCAGGAAAGATCGGTTGGGAGTGAAAGGTGATTATCACAGACTGCAGTGTACGGTGTACCCTGATCAGCGTGGGAGTTAATATGCGGGAATTAATACACTGCATAGTACATATGTACACAGACCATGTGCAATACATACACATGTAAATACTAGGCAAACAATCTCAAACATGCGCATTGCGCAGATGTAGTACTGAAAGAAGAAAACAGAAAGAAAAGCTATATAGCACATTTCTTGATCCGACGTGAGGTGGGAGTAGTTACAGGTGTTGGGGTATTGTTGCGTAGATGTAAACTTGCAAATGATGAGTTCATGGATGCGGTGTGTAAGGATAAATGAAACTACTTACACACGAGTTGATCTACGAAGGGGCGTTGCTGTTGGCAGACATGTGGGCACCGATTCAGAGAGTTCAGGGTTTTGAGAAGGTGGGATCAGATAATCAAAATCCAGGGAATGTGTAGCTGGTGTAGGCCCTGCAGTGCGAAGATCGTGCAGTAAAGAACGTAGATAGTCATAATCAGGATCTTCTGAGAATGAGAGAGAGCGCGAGTAGACAAGGATATTTGCAAATGCAGGAGGAATTCCCTCACATAAATCCGCAATGGCGGTATCTACTTTGCGCTCGAGTATAAAGGAGTCAGAAAGCTTTTTGTGGTCACTATTTAACCATGGTAGGGAGCCACGCAAGAAATATATCAGCATATAGGCAAGTGATTCAAGATCGTCACGGCGACCTGGCTCCAATCCCAAGTGATTGTTGATTGAAGCAAAGGCAGGGGTGCCTGTGAGATGTCGACCTCGACAAAATGGGATGTGGGATGCGGTTGAGGAATTCCAGTATCTCTTCGCAATACCAAAATCAATAATATAGACAGTTTTTTCTGAAATATCTATCATAGTGTTTTGCGGTTTGACATCGCCATGAATATAACCATGTGAGTGAACGTACTCCAGACGCAACAGCTGGAAAATGGGTCAGTATCTACAGCACAACACATTTGAACCAAAGTACCAGCTGGTCCCCTAAGTTTACAACAGTTTGAAGTTTGAATTTTTGGTTGCACGTGAGGAAAAGATCATGCAGCGAGCGACCAAGGAGGTCAAGAGCCAAGGCATAGTGTGTTGACTCCCTGCCAAACCAAAGGACGCAGGGGATCCCAACTCCACCTTCGAGTTGCTTGAGAATGCGGTGTTCGTGCTCGAGAGAAGGTGGATTATTGGTGACTGGTTCGAGTTTGATGGCAACGATATCATTGTTAAGGAAGTTTTGTGCACGGTACATGACAGCTAGTGTATATTTGAAACCCTGAATATCAATCAATCAACTGTTGACATCATATGAATGCACCATATGAACCTGATCCCAAAATATTTTCCAGCCTGAATCTACCATCAATGCGTAATGGAGCCTTACTCATGCTATGCAACAGCTAAATGTTGCAGGCTTACAGCGAGAATTGAAAATTCAGCATGGCGAGAGTGGCTTCCACGTGACTAGAGCCGACTGCAGTCAACTTGAGCCAGCTTGAGTCGATATTTTTTAATTAATGGCTCGTAGCCAGTTCGTGCAGCTCGTAAGTCGAACCAAACTGCACAACGTGGTTCGACTGACGAGTTTAACCGAATGGCAAGTGTAGCCGGTAAAAGCCGAGTCCGAGCCGGGCCGAGCCGAGCTGTGACATAACTAACTATGAACTCCTTCGCGCGCTGCCTATCTCAGAAAAAGTGTCAGCCACATCATCACCAAACGCCAGCAGCAGCTGGATACAGTTTTGCGCGAGATATCAGGCCTGGAAGCCATTATGGATGGTGCAAAATAGGTTAACCAGCAACTAGTTGAAAAAAAAGGACAGCATCTCGCAGTCGATGTCTCTGCACAAGGGTGTCGTGTCGGGTCTCTGGCGCTCGCCACCCGAAATCCTGTCCCAGATTTTCTACCATTGTCTCCCAGAATCTGACCACCAACTGCCATCGGAGCTACAGGCGCCCCTGCTGCTGACTGGAGTATGTCGAAGATGGAGGGCGGTTGCTGTCGACACACCTAGTATATGGAGCAGGCTGTCTGTGAAGGTTGACTTGTCACACCGCCAGTGGGAGCCGCAAGCCTTCGGTTATGACCTATGGCTCAAGCGATCACGAGGATATCCGCTCTTGTTAACTCTCTTCTGCGAGGAAACCGATGCGATGAAGATACGAAGCCTTCTTCAGCCCTGCATCAGGCAATCTCGACACTCTGTCACCTTCGGACGAGAAGTATACCAACCCGAACTTTTGTTACACGACCTCCCAGCACTTCAGGAACTGGCTATCCAGGAGGGACGGAACTCATATGGTCACCTTCCAGTTATTCCACGATCTATCACAAGACTGCCGCGTACCTTGCGCAGTCTCAAGGTTGTTGACCGGTGTTTCATCACTATGCGCTTAACTTCTTTCGGTCCCGTCATGACCCACCTAACAAATTTTGATATCGCCACACTACAGCAACCCGGTGCAATCTTCCATCTGCTCCAGCTATGCCCCAACCTTTCCTCGCTCAAGATATATGTACGATTTGGCTACAGACTAGAAGACCTAGAATCATTCCCGCACCTCAAGATACAAACCCTCCACATCCGACGCCAATGTTCGCTCGCAGGCGATTTATCCAGCTTATTCAATGCTCTCTCGCTCTCTAGTTTGCGGGTGCTTGAAGATCACTGCAATAATGGCGTACCATGCTTCCATGAGCAGTTGAGGGCATTTTTGGCACGCTCGAGGTGTCCCCTGCAGAACTTGGTTTTTGGCGGTTGGAATATACCGGCGGTGACGAATCTGGAGTTAGAGGAATACCTTGACATCATTCCCTCCCTCAAAATACGGTTAGAAGAGGATCACACTCAATACTCGTATTAATACTGATCAGTTATTGTACATTAGAAATCAAATTGCTCGTAGAACTGTCTTCAGGTATACTAAGATTATTTATCTGAAAGGGGTGTGGTCTTTATATTTTACTACAACCTGGGCATTTAAACACAACTGGGCTCCCTTAGTGTGTCCGAATTCACATGTCTCCGCACCTCCCTTCACTGCAGATGGGCCTTTACACGCTGCGGTGCTAGCAAGATCGAACGATCGAGGAAAGATGCAGCGCTTAACGCGCTAATTAGAGTAACAATTTATGGTGGAAGACATTATAAGTTCTGAAGTCTGCTGGAATCGTGGAAACATATTCTTGGTCAGAAACATGCAGTGATATGGGATTATTGGGATAGCTGGAATTGCGGTATGGTAAGCATGGTTTAAGCAGGTGACCGTCGTTGTTCTTGAAGTGAAGTTCGTCTATCACATCGAAAATCACAAAAGGAACTGTATAGCTCACTAATGCAGTCCTCCAGACCCAGACCCATGAGACTTCGATCGAGAACCTCGCTTCTCGTTTAAAGTCAACTTGCGGAGAGTTCAAGCTCGCGCGTAGCTCAACATCTAACTGTCAGATGTAGTCCGCCGCCGCCGGTCGAGGTGGAATCCCCAAACTCCAGGGAGAGTAGGGGCAAGATCTGTCCTATGTAATAGGGCACTTTGTGTTGCAGAAACGGAGCGTTCATATTAGCTGAATAAAGCGCCACGGTAGGATTGGAGACCATGAGGACTAGATCAAGCCGTGTATACTCTGAATGACAATAGTCACACGTCCACGCTGGTAGAAACCTGCTACTAGCAATGAGGCAACGCTAGCTCGAAATATAACCGAATCGCTTACCAACTAGTTCCTTGCATGGTTGCCATGATGCAAAGACATGGATGTTCCTTGCGCTATTCATTTCGATAAAGATCGTGTGGAAGTGTTCATGATAGGAGTATTCAACGTAACAACCAAGATGAGTTTAAGTCTTCAAGCTACGAGGCATTCGTACAAGACGACCTGTCTGTCAACGCCCCATGAATACTACAATGAAACAGAGCAGGTCGTGAGCGCGATTAGTGAAACCATTCATGGAAATTTCCTGGAAATTTTGAGCGTATGTATACATCATGCAGAGTTAGCGTCTATCAAAGCACTGTGGCACCAGATGCCGGATATTTAAGTTAACACGTTCAATAGTAAACCCTAGATACCGGTTGTCAGAATCAAACTCTAAACGTGTACATGGTTCTTCTCACCATCTATGAGTCCTCTACCACCTTAGTTCCACCCATAAATTCACTCCCATGACCACGAAATATGCGCCTACTAAACAAAATCCCCACATACGACTCAGTACGTACCCGTTCAACGGGACGACGACCAGGGTTACGATGAGCAATGTCAGTAATCCGAGTGTACTGCTCATGAGCGTATTTGAAAAGTGTAGTGTGTATGGCTCGCCACCAGCTTGCGAAATCACGTAGGAGCCGGAGATGCCGACACCGAGAAGGATGTTGACCATGGGTCCACCGAAACATGCAGAGAAGCCCATGATTGGGGCGAAGACCTCAAGGGTGGGTCAGGTGGTGGAAGGGTGGGAGAAAAAGGAGACTTACAGCTACGCTCATGTTTGCTACGAGATCCGCGAGGGAGTTACCTACTGCGAAGATCGTGAGGCCGATTATAGCATCCGAGAGTCCAAAGATGAAGCCAAATGTCTGTGTAGGTCATCAATACGATGGGAGGTGTGTATAGGATAAGAATATAGAACGAACCTGCAGCACATTGACAGCCTCATCAGCGATTGCCATAATCCATGCAATCGAAACCAAGAAACCCATGCTACACCGAGCCATACGTGCAGTAGGGTGGCTTCTACCATCCGCAAACACGAGCACAAGCACAGCAACTGCAAGTCCGCCCACAATTGTTCCTAACACGAGGAACATAAAGTGATCCGCATCGTCTAAATCAAATAATTAACAGTTAGCTCACATTTCAAAGTCCAAAACCGCAGGAAAGGGAAGCGGGCAAAGAGAGAAGACACGCACGGAATAACACCCCTAAACAAAACAAAGGGCCTAGGACGCATTGTGCAGCCATCAGCCATTTATTAAACTCGATTTCGTGGAGATCCGGCTGCATCACTTCCTCCGCAATCAGCGCACGCTCAATACCGTCTTCCTCAAAGTCCGTCAACCGGCCATCCTCACCGGCGTTATGATGGCGCTTGTGCATTTTCTCCGATGCGGATCCATTAGAGTCATATGGGACCACGACCACAGGTAGAGTCAGCGTGAGTGCCATCACCGCAGGCGCGGCAAGAAGACTCGCTATTTTCCCTAGTGTATTCTTTTCTCTGAAGTGATGTAGCGCAGGGAAGAGGATGTAATACGTCTTTTTCACGACCCGCCATGCACGCTTGAGTTTCGACGGAGGAACATACGGCTCCACTTCTGTCGTCGTGGTGGACGCGGTGTCCGTCGGTGATGCAGGAGTGTGAGAAATAGATGGAAAGGGTGACATTGAAGCAGAGGTGGGTGCTTGCACGTCGATCGCTAACGATGATGGTTCTTGACCCTCTGAAATGACGTCATTCACAAGTAGCCTGGGACTGCGCTCATCCAGAGGCAGTCCTCCTAATGTTGAGTCCCAGAGGTCCTCCTCGTTCAATGGAGTGCGGCTTGCATGGCTCCCGCCATGCCGGTGGTAGTGGCCACCCGCGTAGGGGGTGATGGGGCTGTCAAAGATGGACAAGCTGCTAGAAGTGGCGTGTGCCTGTAGGCTTGCCACCACCTGTCTGAACTCGAGCGCCCCGACCAGCGAGAAGGACGGCATCTGTGAGAGGTGGGGTGAACTCAGGGGTGAGGGAGTATGGTCCCCACCAGGGGACTGTGCATGGAAAGAGGATGACAGTGCACGAGTGTGTGATGAATGTGGGAGTGCAAGTCGTGGAGGTTGGGGACACGACGTTGCCCGGTGCCGCGTTGGTGGCGAGAGAGGCACGGTAAGCGAGTCAGCGGGAGGGGTAACTGTATGTATTCATGGATGAACAAAAATAGAATGGTAGGAGTGAAATGATAGAATAGACACGCACCTACGTCATGATAGGGTTCTACTACAGTTTCATCCTCGCCATATTCTGCTCGGATAAGAGCTTCAAGCTTCTCCCTTCGATCGCGCCGCCGCTCCCACCAGCTCCCCACGACAACGACTGCGGCATAACACACGTACATGACTACCAAAAATGCGCACTCTCCTGCTCCGATGCGGCCATCGTGGAGTATCACGAGCAATATAATGACGGAAAAGGTAAAGAAGCCGACGTCCCTCAGAAATGGGGTTCGCTCGACCTTGAATGGCTTGATGATGCACATGCTGCCTGCCACGACGCTTACTATAAATGAGGCAGCTCCAAGCAGCTCTCCGATGGCGAGACTTCCTGAGTCTGCACGCATAGCGGAGAAAGTGCTGAACACATCCGGGGAGGCATTTCCGAATGCGAGAAAGGTGACACCAGCGACGTTTTCATCGAGACCTAGGAAGGTCGCAATTGTTGCCAAGTTCGGAGTGAAGAAATCAGATGCAGATATTCCGAGTGTGCTGAATAGAAACAGGAGCCAGAGCACTAATCCAGCGAAAATCAGAGGCCGAAAGGGTGGGGAAGCGCAGAAGTAGTGGGACAAGTACGGAATGCTCAGAAATGTCTCAGGCGACGGACATGACTCCATAACATGTGCACATTGTAACGAAAGGTCCGAGTAGGATAGAGGAGAGCAGCTCTTCTCCGCAGTCGTCATCAGCGTTGGCCCGGGCCCATCCCGCTTCCAAAGGGACTGCGGCAGAGACTGGTGTTGGTAGGACTGGCCATATCGACTCTGTGACCACAAAACTGCGTTGACGATGAGGCATGTAACAAAGACAGCCTTTGCCCCTGCGCTAGACATGGTAGGAAGACAAAGTAGGACCTTATGTCGGGGGTTTCCACGAGCTTATACACTGACGCACTTAAACCTCGTGCCCTTGATTTATATTTCCTACTACTTCGATATGATCAAAATTGTCCTACTTTCCTACAAACTTCGTCTTCTCAGTGCTTATATGTTCCAACTTCTTGGGCGCAAAATTTTTGCGGTTCTGATCATGCGATGTGGAATCCAGACCTTTGATCATCTTGGACCATCTTGAGCACATATAGTCACATCTACAAGTCATCAGGCACTGGTACCCCGTGGATATCGCTCTTCAGTGCTGTATCGTAACAAGTACCCCATTCTTCACTACTATCAAAGACATCGATCTACTACATTCTAGAATGCAAGGCGGGCAGTACCGCGCTGACTAGTAGCATGATGCTTGCCTGGGACTGACCTGCACATGTTAATACGAAGGCAGGGTCATCAATCCGGATATGAAACGCCCTGAAGATAATTTGAAACATGAGTTCCGAAAAGCGACTCGCTTCGTCCAGGAGCCATCCATGGTTTCGCCATATAGAGACGCGTTTGCGGGGAACCATAGATCACTGGTACATTCTGGCGGGCCGTTTGCAGAAATCATCAAACACCCTTTGCAGACGGCCCGGAGAGTCTTTAATAATCTGGCACTAAAAGGTTAGTGTGAATGATATAAACGCGAAAGACGTGAGGTTGGATCGTAGGCTTGGTGTGTACCATTCCATGCCCGAGTCACAAAGATCAAGTGCTTCCAGAATTGTTCCAGAACACGTCTTGCGAAGAAGCGACTAGGCTGCAACGATCCTTCCGATGTACCTGTAAGGTAAGATTGAACTCAAATACCAGAGACATAAATGAGTGAGCGCACCAGATCAGAGCACATCCACACAAGCCAGAGTAATATTGTGGGCGCGATGAAATACAAGAAACGCGTTTTTGTGACTGCTTGTGTGAAAATCCATCAAGTGTATATATTCAAGAACATTGTGACGCTTCCAATGATCAGTACATGGTGGGTATGCACACTACGAAGACGGAGATCATCTCCGAACACCAACATTCGTAGCAGTGCGACCGCTCTGCGACTTCCACCCCATCCACCCCACTAGGACGTTCTTGGCAAATATTTCTCCAAAGCCTAGCATCACTCCGTTCACAAAAGGAAGGAATAGATTGATCGCAAGAGAAGAAAGCAACAAATTCATTCGTGTCCGTGGCGCGATTGAGCTGTCAAGTAAGGATGGGATGGTGGAGGGTGGCACGTTGGAAGGCTTGCGTTCTGCAGAATGTTGCTCCTCAGGTTGATAACGTCCTGTGGTTTGTTGAAGTGCAACATGCGGCGGAGACGGTGATGAGGGAATAGATGTCTCGGGAAACGACATAGATGGATAGGAAGAAGTGGGAGACGAATCTATATGTTCCCATTTCTGCGACGGAGACCCACTATCCATCTTAAGATGTTGAGGGGTGTGTAAATGACTCGACGGGCCCTTTTGTTCATTGACAAGATGCCCAGAATCCGTAAGGGAGGTCGAGGCTAGGGAGGCAGACGAAGAAGCCAATACCTCGCTTGCAGCAGCGAATGAGGACGTAATATGGGAGCCCAATGCATCCCAGTTTTCTGGCTCCTGGCCGAGCGCTTGCCGTTCTTCTGCTTCGCGTTTCCTAATCTGCTCCCACCGTGCACGCTCGCGCTCCGCTTTAGCACGAGCTTCGGCTGACTGAGCACGCCATTCCTCTACCTGAGCTTCATATTCTCCCTTCCATGCGTCCTCTTCGGCCGCTTCAGAATCTTCTTGTATCTCCAAAGTTACTGTAGGTGCATCTGAGAGTGATGCAGGAGCGGCCGAGGCAGCAGCAGCACCAGATTTAGGCGCGATGTCTGTGGACTGGAAGGCAGTCGCCAGTGCTGACTAAAAATCAAAAAAAAATCATTAATCACGCACTAGATTACTAGCACTAAAGAGATACCTGGAGCATGTGCTCGTTGCTTTGCTCGAGGGAACTTGTGTCTGACATCGCCGCAATGCTCCGAGTCGATAGAGTCTCTATAAGGCTCAGTCTGTAAGTTATTTACGTCTGGTCAGATGGCAAGCTTCTCACGGTTCGGCTCATTGTAAATTTCCCGATGTAGGTCATGGGGAATCAACTGCCATGGACTTGAACAGCCTTGGATCTAGCCAACCTCCTCTACCGCCATGATCGTAGAATGGTGCACCCAATTCTTGGACCCGCGAGCTTCCAAAGACCTTGATATCCCGCGCGCACTCATCATTCTGAATCAACCTTTTAGTGTTAGCCTGTTAAAGACCCTCTGGGCTGCCTCCGAATGGCGTTCTTGCGCCGACGGCGGCGGTAATCGTTTATATGATGTCTTGGGCACGAGCGGTCACCCAGACCTTCGAAATTCGTAAGTCTAGCTCCGAGTCTTGCTTGCGCTGCAGTGTATGGCTAGTGACATCAAGTCTAGATTTCTCCCTGATATGGTGAAGGGTGATTTCGACTCTTTACGGGACGATGTTAGATTGTACTACACTTCACTGGTAAGGCCTGTGTTTGGATCGACACGGTCTCAACAGTCCCCCAGAATGTACCAGTAATTCACGATTCCAACCAAGATTCTACGGACCTCATGAAATGCGTGCAAGCACTTGAAGAGAAAGAACGTTTAACTGGACGGGAGGTAACACCAGAATTTTTTTGTTCACTACCAGAATAATTCATCTCTCCAACAGTTTGATATTGTGATCCTGGGAGGTCTCTCCGGAAGGTTGGATCAGACTGTACATACACTATCATACCTCCACAAGCTCCGTAAGACCCGCAAACGCGTCTTCACAGTCACCGACGATAACGTAGGATGGGTTCTTGATGAGGTAAGTTGAATTACTTTTTCAGTGCTGTATCTCACCATTTCAGGGTGAACATCTCATCCACATCAACCACGACGTATTAGGACAAACGTGTGGGCTCCTCCCTGTCGGCATCGACTCAACCATCCTGACGACAACTGGGTTGAGGTGGAACCTGGACAACACGGAGTCATCATTTGATGGACTTGTGTCCACGTCAAATCATCTCGTACCAGGACAAGACGTCACGATCAAGACCTCCAAGCCAATCTGGTGGTGCGCGGAGCTACGGGAACACTGAGACTCATATACGCTCCTACATTATTGCATAATTAGACTCGTATCTTAGATATACTATAAAGTATACTGTGTAGTTTCTTGTAGTACTCGCTTGGACATGCGATGTGGGAAATTGACGGGGTCGAGAAGGCGGCCGTGATTCAGCGTGTTCTACCTTGGATCACCTCTTTATGGTACGCAAGCATCGTGTCCGTGTACTATTTATAGAGGTCTTAGGATGATTCGCCTACTAGGGTCTGACTGGGGAAGACTAGGCCAAAGCCAACCATCATGAGCCAACCAGAAATCACCGTTCTCTACTTTGCTGCTGCCTCGACAGCGACTGGCTTGACGGAACAATCGGTCATCCTCCCTGCCTCGCAATACCCACTCTCCTCATTGAGCAGTTTCTTGGTGTCATTGCATCCGGACGTCGGCCTAGACAAGATCCTTCAGTCTAGCCAATGGAGCGTAAATGCAGAGATGGTGGACGACGTTGAAGAAGTGACATTGAAGGGAGGAGAAGAAGTCGCTATCATCTGCCCTGTGTCAGGTGGATAAGATCGCCAGAAATATCTCTCAGAAGTCTCGTGGTACATTGCAGGTGAGCACGCTTCAAAGATAAGACTATAATCTTCTCATCGTGCTTTTACCTTCAACGTTTCCCCAGGATGAGCTCAGGCCTGGAATCAGTACTGGTCTTTTTAGCTGGTGTTCTCTTTGTATCTTTCTACTCGGTGACACTTCGAAATCTGTATTCCAAATCTCGTTTGATGATGAACGATATGGAGAAAGGAACCAGCTTAGACAACAAACGATTGCCAGCATTCACTGCTCGACGCCTGACGCAGACTACTTTCTTGATCGTCGAATGGGATGACGTCTTCAATGAACACCCATTCATCTATGCCAAACTAGTCTCATCCGCTGAGACCATCCTTATCATGGATACAGGATGCGGTGGGGCTACACATAATCCGGAGATCGGTCTGAAGAGCTTAAGAGAGTTCATCGAGACCGTCGATGTTCCTGATAACAACGGAAAGCCTCTCAATGAAGGAGGGAAGATGAAGTATATCGTAGTGGAAAGCCACTGCCATTATGATCATATCCGTGGGTATTCTTCCTGATTCAACTCATCGATTTGCTGATCACTCCCTGAAACTTAAAGTTGGAGTGGAACCATTTGCCACCGACAGCCCCGTTCTCGGTTCAAGCCACTCGCCTTCCTTCGTTTCCCCAGAGAACTTCCCTACAAACTCGGAATGCAATGCTCAGGGCTTACGAACCCCGATTTACGAGCTTACTTTGGTACCACACCTACATGAGATCACCTCATTGTCAGGTTTATCTATGGGCCTCACAGTCTTGCATACCCCCGGGCACACTCCTGACGAGCTTGCCTTGTGGGATGCAGACGAGAAAATGCTATACACCGGGGATACCCTATATGAAGATGATCCAATCATCTTTCCAACGGGGGGATCTTTACCCGTGTGGTTCTCTACCATCGATCAACTCATCGAGCTCGTGAAAACGCAACCCGACTCTGAAAATGTGATGATCAACTGTGGGCACGCTACTGCTCTCCGTCCTGCACTTGAGGTGCTCAGGACGTGTAGGAAGTTCATGGAAAATGTTGTCTCTGGTAAAGAGCCGCTGAAGAGACGTTATTTGCGTCGAGGGACTTGGTGTGTGGAATTTAAGGAGGACAAGGGTAGATTCTCTTTGATTTGTCCTGAGAGGCTGGTGCTCGAAGCAAAGGGTGAAGTAGTAGCATGATAGGTTCAAAATTTGCTGTTGGACTCCATCTTAGAATCGAGTCATGATGTTAGAAACACTACACTTGTGATTCTAGTGCCTATCAATATCAGCTACACAAGCGGGGCGATTGTTTGCTATATCCCGCAGTGCCACTACACAGAAGTACATCGACTGGAGGCAATGAGCGCGAGGGTCTTGTTTACGACAGACTCTGTGGTGGGTGATTTAAAGCTCTACTCTGTAGCAGTCAGTACCTTTTTCCATCAGAGTGACACAAGTGGGTGGCATATTGGTCCTGGTCACGTCCTGGCATAAACTGGAGGTCTATGACAACCTTGTGTTGTCGCGAAAGTCAAAGCTAGATATTTAATGAGCACAGATGACTATCCAGCAAGAACTAACTCGCCGATAAGGGGTGGTTAACGACCTCCTAATATTTCCCGTTCTAACTGGGCCAAGAAGTCATCTGCCTCTGTCTTTGGTACCGAGTCATTAGTCCCTTTCTGCTTGCCCTTCCTCTTGTGTTTGTCTGAAGCATCAGTTATCTGCCTTTCCAGCGCCACTAACGGTCCAGACGTGTCTTGCGCCTCCAACGTTACAGCCTCTGAATTATCGGGCTCCAAACCTCGGCCTGCGAGGGTTTCGTCGCCTTGGACCTTCCTTCGTTTCGCATCTAATATCTTTCGTCTTTCCTCAATGTCCCTCTTCCGCTTCTCCATCGCCCTGCTCCTCGACGCGCCTGCGGTGATACTATCATCACGCATGCCCTCCACCTCTCCCGGTTTAAGATCCACTGCACCAGCATCTTGTCTTATCTTCTCAGTTTCTATCCTCGCTGACTGCAGTTCTTCCATTTGTTGTCTCCTCGTCTCCTCGTCTCCAGAAAATTGATAGTACCCAGCGCCTTTAGCACGAACCTCCTTTGAAGCATCGTAGTGAGAAGACAATGGATTATTGTCTTCCGAGTAAGCATCTTGAACTGCTTGGATGCGCTCCGCGGAAGGTTCGAATACCGGGAAGTAATTGACGGGATTGTAAATGACGTCCCTCGAGAAAAAATAAGACTAGGATGATGAGGGCTCGCTGTTTAACTTACTTGTCTTCATCTGGTATTGGTTCTGTATCCTCAGAACGCGGAAGTAAGTGCCGAGGAACTTCGGACCTGCGTCCTGTTCGTTGTCGTCCAAATTCATCTTCGTATTCGATGATTGGGTCACCCTAAACATTCCATGAGTATAATCCGAGAGGTTCCATCAAAAGTACCTACGTCATCTTGAGGCTGTTCAGGGACCGTCAATGATTCATCCATATCATCACTGTCCGACTCAAAATGATCACTAGGTCCTCGAGAGTCAAACTAGACTCTGGACATCAGCAAGCCACTCAGCGAACACAAGTAACATACATACATCGACGAGCAAAGCCTCGTACTGCTTGTCAGTAAGGCCACCAGATTTCCCCTTCCGCAGTTTCTCGTATATTTTCGCCTTCCTCTCCAAGACGGCCCGCCCAGACTCGATAGTCACCTTGCTGACTTCTTCCAGTTCTATGTCGCGCGCAGCGCGATTTTGGACGCCTTTATTGGAGCGACTCCATACAGTCGGTTTCTGCGTTATGCTTGTATTCAAGCCCTCCCGTGTCAATTACAGGATTCGCTCACCTTGTCGGGCCTTTTGACACCTCCCACCGTGTATTTACTGCCTCCTGCAGCTTTGGTCCGAGCAAATTCATCTTCTTTCTTTGCGATTTCTGCTTTGAGGTCAAAGAATGAACTCGCGCTGACACCTGCTGCTCTGGCTTTGTTAGTTGGCGCCGTCATCCGAGGAAGGTGAATTACTGTTGAATTATGGAGTCCTGGTAGAACCTCTACAGCTATATGATATTACTAGCATACTATAATGGGTGTCACATGACTTGCAAACTATCAAGGGACCTGCCTGCGCCTCGATATCTCATAACCTTACGTCTTAGAAAGCAAGCATCAGCAGGAGGAACGCGTATAGTCGGACAAATTTGCGGAATGGACAAGGAAACACCCTAAGTCATGGTCTGGCAGCCAGCTTGGCTCATACTAGCTGAGGTTGGCTCGAAGCTCTTCTCATGTAGGTGGTCCAATATAGACAGAAAATCTCTCCAAGCAGCTTCCCTCATGGGAAAGCTTTGATTGCTGCATAAAATTCACGTAAAGACCCCTTCCCCTAATCAGCATCCCATGCCTGTAATGAATTAACGTTTAATCAGAACATGCTGATAGGGACTTCTTCAGACCTGGAAAAATAGCTAGACAGTGTGTGATGAGTGAGGCGGCCCATTATTATATGACCAAGGCACAGTACCTTCTATCACAAAGAGCTAGCAGGACATCATCCGCATGACCTGGTAAGCGAACTATTTCACAGCCGGACAGCTGAATCCGGTCACTTCCTTGAATCACACGGAAGGCGCTTGCTTGTACGACAATATGACATTTCCGTTATCGAACCAAGGACGAAACCGTTCTAGCGTGTTGCCCTTTAATAGTTGGGACTCGGAAGAGAGCATTAGTGTGGAACCCTTTGACTAGATGAGCAGCGTGTAAAGCGAGAATGGATATATTCATCCATAGGGTCCCTAGAATTAATTTAAATCAGTTATCTAGGAAAATGTGGCGCAAGAGATGAGCAGAAAGAGGGGGAGCGCCAGATAGGTCTGATACATGATACACGAGGAGACAGGACTGGCCATGACTGATATGTGCCCACGGAAGGGAAGTTGAGGGCAATATAGAACCGAGATACGATGTATGACACCAACCGAAGGAAGGCAGAGCCACCAGCCATCTCCGAAGGACTTCGACATGAAGAGTGCCCAGCGATTCTAGCAACCGCCTGGGTTGTACAAACCGGATAAGCGAGGGCGACAACCGCGAGAAGTTGTGTGCGGACGACGTGAGTTGAACCGCACGAATCAAAGGTATCTTATGATTGTTCAGTACCTAATAGACGCTAAGGGGAGGAGGATGACATTCGGTTAGCATTTCATTTTAGATCAAGGGCACACAGAAAACCAAAAAAGGTTAATCGCGGCACATGGTGGCTGCAGTCCGGAAGTAAACGCAGACAGAAATGGTGAGATAAGATGCAACTGACGACGGTCATACTATCGCACGCATAGTCACTGTTTTCGAATTCCACAGTTGAATGCATTCACAGATAGCGAATTGCATTACCAGGCCTATTAATGCAATAGATGGGCCATTGAAGTAACGCTGTCCTACCACAGGTCGAGACTGACTAGTAGACTGCTTAGCCTACTATGACTTGCCCAATAGTTACTGATGAAGTGTGAGACGATGAAAAAAAATGCGATTGCACCATATCTAAATCATACAACAGAGCCGGCCTTAGCTGCAATACGGGGCCACAGGTCAACCTTAGAATTAGCGTTAGAAACCTAATCTTCCACATCTTGGAACGTAAACCTACACATTCTTTTGCGACAGGGCCAACGATAACGGAGCCCTTCATATCACCCTTGGGGTTAACAATAACACCGGCGTTGTCCTGTAGAATTGGTTACATATGTAACAAGGGGAACAAAATTGTCTCGCACCTCGAAGTACAAGAAAACACCATCTCTCCGACGCCATGCCTTACGTTGGCGGACAACAACAGCGGGCATAGCTGCAAGTTGATCTCATCAGTACAATTCATCGACACAAGGTGCGGCATCAATACACACTTTTTTTCCTCAGTTCAGGTTTCCCCTTCTTTACTGATGCAACGACCATGTCACCAACACCAGCATCAGGCAATCTGTTCAGTCGTGCACCGAAACCATAAGGCTCGATTATGAATAGTGACTTGGCACCGCTGTTGTCGGCACAGTTGAGGACGGCACCAACAGGGAGACCAAGTGTCATACGGAATTTCTTTCCAGAGGCGCCAACTGAAAGTAGGGAATGAGATGTGAGCCATACATGTACATGGGAGAGCTACCGCGATCTTTCCCCATCGTATATGTTGCTGGATGCTTGCTGGATCTTGCGTGACCCCCGACTACCTGGGTATGCTCACTCACCAAAGTTTCAAACTGTACAGTTATACCGGAAACTTCCGGATGTACGATTCTGTACGTCCATGTGTGCACTCCTCACGCCTGCGTCCAGCCTCGCAAGCTGCGCTGTTGGTAACATACGTGGGCCGTAGAGACAAACGAAGTCACGAAAGACGAGTTCTGACCCCAGCAAAGTTTTTCAGAATGATTTTCCTTAAATCTTGACTCGATGATACAACCATATATATATGATACCTTGCGCACGGCTCTTTGGCTCAATAATTCACATCCTTTTTGACAATTATTATTACATTCACCGCGACGTACTTAAATCCGATACTATGGTTGTGAACGTCATGTTTTGAGTTATTCTCCACAGGCGGCCGAGAATCGAGATACAGAGGCCAGTGTTGCAGAACCACGCTGTATGCGTTCCCAGATATGTAACAATGAATAATGATGGTATCACTTGAGCGTATCCAATAATAATCGATTCAGGCCGAAATTACGGGCAGCGTGCAGACCACGAGGAGATCGTAAATGGTATCGATCAAGGTTACGCCAGTGCAGAACGATCGCATGATTATCTACATTTTACGGTGATTATATGTTAACTGCTACAAGACAAACAACGTCTCGGCAACATCGAATGCCGCGGGGGTGCGGTGGCCGGCCTCGCCTCACCCCGCCTCCCTGCCTCCAGGCCCCTTCACTGGCGTATCTGTATTATGAAGAATTGTACATGATGCAGACCTGAGGCCTGAGGGTCTGATCATACATATGGTCGATAGGATATCATTACGTCGACTTCAAGCATATTCATGTGTCAATTTGCACAATACGACCTAGCTATTTCATATTATGGAAACAACTATGAAATGTGAATCAGCTTGAGGGACGTAGAATTTTAAGACGGAATAATATCCTTCCCACCGGGCCTGGGAGTACAAATTGGCGTATGAGTTTGTTTAATTTAGAAGGTCTTGGGCACTTCGGGAGACAGGCTTGCCCATTGCTGAGTATAATGTATGCTAATTGAAATCAGTACCGTCCCATTGCAAGAAAATTGTTGGAAATGAGTGAGTCATAATGGTTTCGCAAAGCTACAGACTAGGTCAGCTATATGCTCTAGAGATAAATCGAAAGCGAATACTAACGTGGCATCAATTTGCTTGACCTGAGGAAGTGCAAGCATTATCTTCCGTCTGTAACCTGTACCTTCGGCCTGCTGACAAGGATTGCCTTCCAGGTAAATCGTTTCGAGGGATGCCATATTCTTGAGCTGCGGTTCGAGAGCTCGCAGATCAGCAATCTTGTTGTTGTTGAGCTGAGCATGAAATGAGATTTGGGTTCCGTTGTAGTCAAGAAACACCTACCCAGAGCTCCTCTATGGATACTAGATGCGAAATATTTTCGATCGCCGGAACAAAGTTCGCACCAATGTCGAGTGTTCGAAGCTTTGTCTGCGCAAGAGCTTAAGCATGACGGCGAACAATTGACTGGATACCTACATTGTTCTCGAGACCTTCCAAACGCTCGACTCCATTGTGGCTCAAGTAGAGCTCTTCTAAATCAGCCAATTGATCCAGACCCTCGATCTTTGTGATCCTGTTGGACTGAAGAGACAATATTTTCAGTCTGCTTAGTGTACTCAGACTCTGTTGTATCGTGTGACCGTGAGTAGTAAACTACGATAGTGCGAAACCACTGCACCTCTAGTTTAGTGAGCTTGTTTTTTCCAAGCCACAATTCCTCCAGGTTGACCAACGAATCCAACCCTTCGATATGCTGGAGTACCAGCGTGAGCTACCCCTTGGAATGATCGGTTGATCGGCGCAAATTACCCGTATTCTATTTCCCCCAAGTTCAAGACTTCTTAATGTCGCTCCAACAGATTCCAAGCTAGTGATTTTGGAGATCTTGTTTTGAACGAAATACACGGTCTTCAAGGAACGTAGATGCGACAGTGCCTCCGGCACTTGTCGTAGAAGGTTGAATGAAAGGTCCAGAACGCTATGCAACTTAAGAATACACAGGATACTTGAAGTTGAAGATCCGTTACTCACGTTAGAGCAGACATATTGTCTAATGCATCTCCCAAAGTCTTGAGTTTATTATCGTACAGGTCAAGCTCTTCAAGCTGCGTGAGCAGCTTAAATATCTCTGGATCTAGATGCGATATAGCGTTTTGTCTGAGGCATAACTTTTTCAGATGCCTTGCGAACCGATCAAGTCGAAGATTAGCCAAAGAGCTCAATCGCGAGTGTACGAGTTCTAATTCCTAGTCATGCCGTATGCCTCGATTAGGTAGACAACGAAAGACCGCGTGAGTACGCACGTCAGTTTCGTCTGGAAAGTCTTCTAACAGATCACCATCATTTGCTTGCGATCCATCTGCCTCGGCTTCCCCATCGGAGTCACCATCTACCGCAGGAGGTGGTAATGCAACACGAGCTGTGGGGCTACCGACGGGTCATTGAAGATACGTGATCCGGAGCTTGGCACACGAAGCTCACCGCTCAACGACTACGGTTTTTTTATGACTCGCGCATTCCACTGATTGTTCATCCGGCCGGTGCATGATGAGATATACAAGTGTCAGCAAGCCAAGGAAGGACGATATAGATCCGTAGCGGCCTTTAATATGCTACTTACATAAAGCGTGGCTTCTTGTGGCTGTGTAGAAGGAATGACGAGCTTGTTTGACCTTTGACTATGTAGTCTTGTTGAAATTTTGGTCAATGAGACCAATAGATGGCTCTCAACGATAGAATCTTAGCTGCGCCCAGAATCAGTCAGGCAGGACTCCCTCATCATTTAGCTGACTTGACGCTGACACTCCATAAAATAAAATAATTCAGGGCGATCCTTAGCCATCTGCGAGTTGATCGGCGTAGCAAGTTTTTGAGGATCGCGATTTCACGACCAGAAACGTGGGCAAGCGCGAGTACAATCGATGGTCCGACCGCAACCAAACTTCCAATCTCATGATTTCAAATTAGCGTGTCCACTACGATAAAACTACACAAGGCATGTATCCATGTGTTGGTTGCGCTATGTAAGTCCAAAAGGAACAACCAGGCGAATTGCATCAATAAATATTTTGGCAAGCAAGGTGTGCTTGCACCATTGGCCGAAAGAAATGAACCGGAAACATAAAAATACCGAAACGTTGCATTTCACAGAAACAGGGCCAAGGTGTCGCATAACGCTTGTATGGGCTTCAAGTCGTTTGATTTAACGTGGCGCGGTCACCGGAATCTACTACGCTCTGGTGAGGGAGGCAGTGAAGTCAGGTGGCGATCCTGTGTTTTTGCCCGTTCAAAAGTAGTTGAGTTTGACGAGGGCGAGGGATAAGGGTGATATGACCCGCTGCGAGACGATGAGCCAGGCACATCATCTTGTCCTCGTGGTGGACGGAGAGTCAGTTGACCCGAAGATAGCGGAGATGGGGAAGGTTGAAAAGGGCTGGACGCGTGATAAGGGAATGTACGACCATCAACTCGTGGTTGATGATGCGACGGTCCAGAGGAAGGGTGGTAATGAACAAAATTGAGACCAGGCAACGGAGGTGATGTCGAAGGTCGGTTATCTTCTGGTGCTACAGGGCTTGGTTGAGAATAAGGTTCACTACCAGATCCAGAGCCAACAGATGATGGGGAAGCATATGTGTTCCCTTCAACAGGACCGCGACGAGTCGTCGTAGCCGCGCCAGCAATAGGTATCGGAGGAGTGGACGGCACCGCAGACTCCTCATTAGCCGTAATGACACCGGTCTTGTCCTTCTTCCGACGCTGTGTCGACACCACGTGCCCTTCCTTCTTGGCACGAGAACGGGCGTAGCGCAAGCCACATCTGGTCAATGAAACAGAAAACAAGTAAATATTAGTAAGTAGTCCCGTCGCATGTTGTGGTATCACCCACGCGTTACAGAGCTCCTTCCTGCCACTGGGGCCCTTCCTCCATTCAGGACTAGATGTTGCCTTGCAACTACTGCATTTGAGAACACCCAGGGGGCGATTGTTGGTGCTACGTGGCAGGGTGTCCTTATGTGTTCCGGGGCTCACTCGGTGTCTTGGAGGTGGTACAATGTCGGTACCACAGGCCGGCGCCGGCGGTGCACTGGCCTCGAAGGCCTCAAAGGCGGCCTTGGTACTGTAGTCCTCAGGACTAGGTGTGGCTTGATAATTGCTTAAAGATGCTCTGTTCTCGCCATAAATTGGAGATGGCGACGGTCTCGAGTAAGGTGACTCGCGCAAGGTGCATGAAGACGATGGGAGGGATGCCATCGAATGTGCAGGGCTTTGAGCAGGCCACCTGTTAAACTGAGAAAGCGAGGAAGAAGGCTCTGAGTAACTCCCCCAGGGCGAGTGAGAGTATTGGGACGTCAAAGACTGCGTGTAGTGCCCGTAAGGTTGTGGCATTGAGGTAGACACAGGCGGGAGTGTGTACGGACTTGCCGACAGGTCATAGGGGTGATGTTGGCTGTGTGCAGGCATGTAGGCGTCTGTCGACCTCGTGAACGGCTGAGACTGAGAATAAGAGACAGACAAGCTCCGCGAAGCAGGCTGTTGAATGGTGTGGCATGCAAACGTTATTGAACCTATATCCGCTTGCTTAATAGAAGCACATGGACTTCATCAAGGAAGCGCTTACCATGAGGGATGAACACGCTTTCTACTTCGCCTATTCCAGGCATTGTATCTTGGATTCTCCAACGTCTCGTGCAACTCGTCTTCGCACTGTTATCCCGAGTGGACGTCTGAATGCCCACCGCTCGCCTTGCAAAGTCTTTCGCTCCTGGCATACCAGGATATTCCTGGCTGCTGTCCGACGGCCAGCTCAACAGAAGACGACAGTCCTGCTGGTTGTAATTAGAGTTGAACAAGATCTGGAATACCCTAGTTGTGGCGGTTGATTGAGGAAAGTAATATAGAAGCCGCTGTTGCAATAGCGTTATCTGTTCTGGGTGCATGCATGGCGTGCCACACCAATTTGTCCATGGAG